AAAAAGATATGGGTCTAATATTTTTTTATACTCTATAATATATCCAAAGCTCATCAAAATCGGTGAGGAACGGTTTCGACGATTCCCTTATGAGAGTCATGATCTTGACAACATATATCAAGATCGTCGAAGTTTGTCGACCGAAGTGAAATTTTCTACTGAAATTACACTTTAATTTTAAATATCTCAGAAACTATAGAGACCTCCATCTTATTGTTAAGGCAAAGTTATTTAGGATCATGACCTTGACAACATTTGTCAAGATCATTGAGACAGCATCCCCCATATTGTATAATTACCATATACTTTTTAAATAATTCAATTTATAAAAGGCAAGAATTTAAATTGATTAAAGTTAATTTTTTGTTTTAATTTTAAACTAAATTCAAATCTGTACCTGAATATAGTATAAAATTCGCATTATATTATAATCTATCTCGTGCAAGATTCATAATTTATTTGCAATTAATAAATAAATACTTATACAGTTTTTACATTGTCATGTTCTATTAAAAAAGATGTAATGTTGAAAAATATTTAGATTTATCTTCTTTATTTATTAACCCTTTGTTGTATGCAAAACAGATATATAACCGGCTGATGTTTTCATTAACTGAAAAATATATATTTATAGGTAATATAATTAATGACACACTATGTGTTGATCCCAAAATTTAACATTGTATACTAAATAATAATAAGTATAATAGCATAAGTATAATAAAACAAAGTATATAAGATATATAAAATTTATATGACATAGATTACTGCACGGGAAATATCAATAACAATTAAATATTTTATAATGAAATAATTATAATTAAACATTAAAATACTTTACACCGCAAAATGTTGCCATTGTCATCGGAAACACTTTTCCAGCTGTAAGATAGACTGGTTTAGTGCCTCTTATCAATAGAAACAATAAATCCTTCGCAATTTTTGGATCCACAGAATACCATTCATTATTATATGCCGCATAATATATTTCATTACACTTAAAGATATCAAGAAAGTTTTTAAGTATCGATTATTATGTGCATTCAAGAGTGCTGTGAGTTCATGTGCAGATTATATTATATGTACCATCATACATTGTGTAAGTATACGACATATGATACTAACAATAAGTGCAAAAAATTATCTACTATATATTTAAACTTTTGTATGTGAATAATATCAAACAAGGTAAAATATTTTAAAATATAAATAAAAATAATAACTGTATGGTAAAAAGAAAATTACTAGAATATTAGTAATCTTGTATGTATTGATTGCAATTAAATAAGATAATTAGATCACGTACTTATATAAAATTATAAACTAACGTATAAATTATAGATTAATATTGCATATAAAGTTTAAGTACAACAGTTAATTGTCAGTTTTTAGGAAAAAAATTGCTGTAGATTGATTTTATATTGAAATTCTTCTATTCTATATATTTTAATATAACACGATCAGAATATTTGTATTTCTAAAAATTGATACTAATTTTTTAAATAATGAATTTAAACTAATCAAATTAAATTGTCACTAATTATTTTAACATTATGTAGGTAATTACTTCGAAATAAATCATATAATATTACATATGTGACATATAAACATTGTTTTTATAACAAAAAGAATAAAACTTACCCGAGCCATTAAAATCTCACCCAGGGCACAATAGAGGCACATATGCGAAAATATAGTGAAAACATTGCACATAAAATATATCAAGTGAGTGACCGATAGATTATTTCCTTCGTCGAATAGCTAAATAATTCATCATACGTGTTAAAGATATAATATTCTTATGTTAACAATACTTTAGATGTTTGTAATATTTAATAACAGGTAATATATATTTTTCGTTTATAAATTACCAATATCTAATTTATACAAACAAATTTTTATTTGTAATTCAACACTTACGATAATTATTCGGAAGCCATAGAAAGCGAAAAGTATTGCAAAGTATAAAAATAACGCTAGAAGTGTTATATTATATGTATCTTCAATAACGACAATGGCTCTATAAAATATATTCCTTGTATTATGTGCATTTAATTAATATTATATTTTATTCATATGAATATCAAACCTAAGTAAACGAATGTGCTTTATCACGCAACTTTTCAGTATATTTTGAGAATTGATATATTTATCCAAACGTGTCAAACGATTTTTCAGAATATCCAATTGGCCGCATATGTGGAAAATTAGTAATCCAAGGAAATTATCGATTCCAGTATAAGACATAATAGCAAGAAGAATGTAAACAGCTTGACTAATAAACGTTATTTCGTACTGCGGCCTTTTAGTTATATCGTAAATATAATACGTTTGTAGAGGCATTGGTTTGCCTGGATCAGTGATATTGGGCGTTAGTCTCATTGATATTCCAAAGCTTGGGAGAATGATAATAAAAAAACATGCTAATCCCATTATGCAATAGGCGCAAGTAATAATAATGCGTGCAGTGTACGCTCTTCTAATCATAACGTTTCTGTCTTGCACACTTTTTGATTTTATCCAATCTTCTGCGATCATATTCATGATTGGTATAATAGCTTCAAAATTGTTAATATTAAATATTTAAATGCGCACTTAACAGTAGATACAATTAAATTGAAATTAAAACTATGATAACATTAATCCTAAGCAATAAAATGTTTAAAATAACTGGACAAATATAAAGCCATAAATATTATTTTTATGATAGCTTTAATAACAAAAATAATATATAAGTAAATATTGAAAACAAATAGTAAATAGCAAAATAAAAAGACTTAATAATCTAAAATTTTTATTATATGGTAACTATAATTTAAATAGATCTTATTCACTATTCATGCATATTAATGAAATTATTAGATTGTCTGGAAAGTCTATACCGATTTATAAGCCAAATTTAAATAAAAAGTTTTCTTTTTAGAAATAACTTTGATCAGTAATAAATGCATTATTTTGTTCCAGAATATTTTTCCATCTTTCAAGTAATTTTATAATTCCTTTGTCATATAAGTATTGGATTTTCGAACGTCATTTATTGAATTATTTATATATATTTTATTTATATTTATATATATTTAATTTATAAAATATTTTTATAACATTATAATTTTATAAGTTACAACTATTGTTTTTAATTTTGTCTACCTTCCTTCTTCCACCAAAAAATTACGATTCTTATCGTACAGCTTATTGCCGGCAAGGTAAATTGTAAATTGTCTAGCATTAGCATTATGTCTCCATAAATTCTTATGAATGAATGTATAGAAGGGATCAGTACGCCACACGTTACGGACAGAAAAACGATAAGCACTCGAATATTGCACATTAACTTCTGTCGAGTGTTTTTTACAGTTTTAGGCCAAAGTCCAATCAAATCTAAAGCGATCCGATTTAATTTCACCGCCCATTCGAAATCTACCTGTAAAAACTTAATAAATCCTTAATAAATCGGACCTGTAGAACCTTAATAAATCGGAACTCATGTAAAACATAATCATAAATACGCACAAATAAATCTACAATTAGAACAAAACAGATAAAATGTTATTTAATAGAATGTGTACAAATAAAATATTTAGAAATAATTTTTTATGAATTATTAATTATAAATGTATTTATGAATCATGCTTTGATTACACAAAATCGAAGACTATCTATTCTCAAAGAATGATGTTGTATTAACAGCATCAGATCTGATTGAGAAATTAATTTGTTGATTTAATAACACTATTAATAAAATAAATACTCGTTCTAAAATAAAAGTATCATACATTTACAAAATTAATTTTTATTAAACTAATGTTGCTAATACAACATTATGTTTCTCCATAGAGAATAGTAAATATATAAATCATAAAAAGCATTAATTTACTTTAGTTAGATTAGCTAATTTACTATTTTCTAATAAGTTTATAACCAACATAATACTGTATAAAAAAAATTAAAAAACTTTTTATCATTAATAAAATAAAATATATCTTAAATGCCACTACTATTTGCATACATGCACATTATAAATAAATATATTTTTATATCTTCTTTTTTTCAAATTGCAGTACAACAATTTCAACGACGAGCACCTTGATATCCGGCATATTTTGAATCATCCATGTCGAATGTTATCTACAGACTGACAGCTGTTCCTATTTTATGCAACAACGTTACCTTCTATTTAGCAAGAAGTATTGTTTGCGCATGCTCTTAATAATTCTTGAAAGGACTGAACGATCAACTAACAGCGAAGTGTTTTAAATATTCTACGTCGCGCGACCCTCGTTTTATGTTTCTCAGAAGTTTTCTGTACCGAACATAATGCAAAACTTAGGGATAAAAAAAAATTCGTAATAACAGGTAGGTACTCCTCTCAAGTTAGCAAAAAAGTGTGTTTATATACATCCATTATATCCCACGTTCCGGTTGCACTTTCGTTGTAGTTATTAATAAATTTTATAAGAAAGCATCATATTCATCGGTTATTTGTTTCATATTTATTAGAGAAGGTACATTTGTAATATCTTCGCTTTATCTGAGTTGTATAATGAACATCGAGTTCTTATAAAATAAAATGTATGTTTTTATTTTATACAATATATCGAATATTTGAGTACAAATTGAATCCTAATAAAACTAAATAAATTATATTATATTTGTAATATAAATTTAATATATATTAATTTTAATCTATGAAATAATTAATAAATAGATATAATATTTGGACATTAAATCTGATATATGCATTTAATGCTTATATAAAAAATATTATTCTCTTTCTACATAAACATAATATATAACAAATATATTAATTTAAAGTATTATATAAAATAAAACACGTTGAATTGAATAATGTAAATATTTTATTTCTATTGTAATTAACATATCTCTGTTACGTTCTATTTATAATTATTCTATTTATAATTATTTAACTAAAATTTTTTATATTTATGCTTCGCATAAATTTTCTGGTATGAATGTACTAGCGTATAATTTTGATGTCTTCTTCATTTTTGGTTTGCTAATAGAAATGATATATAACCAGCTGATGTTTTTAATAACTGTAACATATTCTCTATGCAGACAACATAAATAACAGAAATAATTTTTTAATTGGTAAATATTTTATTCAATTGAATATTTAAAAATATTAAAAAATTTAAATATTTAAAAATATAGAAGTATTACTATTTGTTAAAATAATTAGAAATGCTTATTTATATAATTATTTTGTTATCTTAATTTGATATTTATGTGTGTTAATAGTTAAATACTCATTTAATTTGGAAATAGACGGATACAAAATTAAATTGTTAATGTTCAAGAAATGTCTTCTTTTTAAATATTTTTTAAAAAAGTATGTTATTCAAATATTTTTCAGATTAACTATAAAAATAATTTATAAATTTCATGTAAATTATTAATAATCTTACACTGCAGAATGTGGTCATTGTAAGTGGAAATATTTTTCCTGCAGTGATGCGAACAGGCTGGCTAGCTCGTATCATTAATAAGATAAGACTCCTTGCATATTGTGGTTCTAATCTGTACCATTCAAGATCGCACAGAGCACGATATACTTCCTCGCACTTAACGTGAAGATGCATAATAACATATTGATATATTGTATTAATATACTGTGTATAGTGTTATAAGACATTTATATAAATTATATTAAAAAAGTAAATTTGTAACTTACTTGCATTGTTATAATCTCCCCGGCACCGCAATAAAGAAAAGTATGCGAAAGCAAAATGGTGATACCAATTAATGGAAAACATAATCGTGCGAAAGAAAAATTACTTCCTTCGGTAATTATCTGAATAATATACCTCGATAATTAGTAAAAATTAATAGATTGTAGATGGTATATCAACAATCTGCATACTTCGAAACAAAAAAATGAGATATTTAAAAAATAAAAATGTATAACGTGTATGCTAATATTCTTAATTGACATTATGTTTAAACTTACAGTAAGTAATAAGAATCCATGTAGACAAAATACAATGCCAAAATAAAATACTAAGCCTAACATCATAAAGGTAAAGGTATTTTCAATAATACCAGCGAATCTATAACAATTTTAAAAATTACACGATTAGGTTCGTTATATATGTATATAGTATATATGTATATAATAAGTAAAAAAATTATTAGATTAAAATTAAATTAAAAGATCTATATTAGATCTAAAGTTCAAAAAGATTACTAGCTTGCTAAAAATACAAAAACTGTTTTTACATACAAATTTATTCAGAAGTAAACTATTTTTCAAAATATAAATCATTAATAACCATTTGCTATCAGTCCGCTAACTGTCGGATTTGATCTTAGTACTATTTGCTCCTTAGACAAAGAATTCACGACAAGTGTTACGTCAACTTGCGCAACAATTTCGACTCGTTGTTCTCGAAAGAAATGTTTTATTAAAATATCGCAGTCAAACAGTGCAAGATCAGGACTGTATGCAGAACGGGGTAGAATCTCAATTACTAAACAAATGATACCGCGGGACCAAATTAGCGGGGGCAGCTAGCAGAATAGTGGTAAGGTTTATTGACTGAATAAATGGTTTTTATTTTAAAAAATAATTTTCTTTTAATAAATTTTTATGTAAACACCGTTTTTATATGTAAAAAGGGCATTCGGAACTATTTTAACAACCTAATAGTAACGCGTAAAAAAACCTTTTATATTTCCTCAATTAATTATAACAGAAAATTAATTATAAGGTACTTATCGCATACTTCAACGAACCTTAATAAATATTTTTTCATACTTATATTTCATATTTTAATCATTTTTTGACAATAGTAACAATAATAAATATAAAATTAGAAGTAAAAACCTCTTATCATTAAATTAATTTTACTAACAAATTATTAAATAATTTTTTATTGTAGGATCCTTATTTGTAATTGAGTTTTACTTGTAATTGTATAATTATAATGACGAATGTAATTATATGTGTACATGCAAATACCTGATAAGCCGTATATGAGTCATTACATTGTGACTCAGAATATAGATAAAATTTTGGCATGAAATCAAATTAGTTATACGGCTTTTGAAGTTTTCCAGTTGACCACTGAAGTGAAGAATCGAGAGTCCAAGAAAAGCATCTACTGAAGTGTAAGTTACAGCGGCTAAGAAGACTGTAATAGCTTGAACAATGTATGTTAGTTCAAATTGCGGACTCTTATCTATGTCATAAAAATAATAAGTCTGCAGCGGCAGCGGCTTGCCCGGGTCCGTCAAATTTGTCAAACGTCTTAGCGATAAACCAAAATAAGGAAGAACGATGACCACAATGAACGCCAATACCATGAGAATATATCCGCTGATGACAATAATTCTAGCAACCTGTGCTTGCCTCATCATTACATCCCTTTCTTTTCTTGTCTTTAATTCCATCCAATCTTCTGCCATCATTTTTATGATGGATAAAAGTGCTTTGAAATACAGCAAAATAATCACTTGTAGAACTGTCACATATTGTTTCTTGTTTTAAAGCTATGGCAAGTACCTTTAAATACACGTTATGTTTCATACCTTTTGTACAATAAATAAACTTTCTCGATATCTTCATGCCACATAAATATAATTCCATCTGTACCTGTTTGTTTCCACCGCATAATAACAAGTTTCAACGAGACCACCAGCAAAGGTAAAGTCACTTGGAGATTGTCTACCATAAGTATCATGTCTCCCCAAACTCGTATAAGGGAGCAGGTGAGAGGTATACCAGAAATAAATGTCACTATAACGAAAATAATGACCACACGAAGATCGGAAGATATTTTTAGGTAATTCATCGCTTTTAGGCCATAATCCGATTAGTTCTAAACCCAAGCGATTTAATTTAATCGCCCACGTAAAATCTAGTTGCATATTAAGATTATAAAAATTTATAAAAGTTTATAAAAAAGATTATAAAAGTTTATAAAAATATACGATATCTCGAGATAAAAAATCCGAAATAAAAAATTCAAAATATCGATGTTAGATTTTTTAATTTTATGAACATGTGTAATAATTAGGATTACAAAACAAACATCATATACAAAAATATAGCAATTAAATTACTATATTTTTACATATTGGCATATAATAGGTCGGGATTACATGTAAATATTTTTGCGATTGTGTTTAAATCGGAATAGTTTTTAATATTGTTATGAATTTGTAATAATAACATTAAAAAGTATTACGATTTAAACATTACATCACTTAGAAAAATATTTACATATAATTCCGACTTATTGAATACTTATTTTAAAATACAATTATTTTAAAATACATTTATTTTAAAATACAGTAATCTAGAAAATTTTCAAAAATCTCCCATTTGCTCTTATAAACGAAAAAATACATAGTAAACGTTTGATACCTTTATACTGTGAATGTTTGGCAATGTCCATGCCGAAGACTAATGCGAAGACGCTCACCCCACTTGTTATAGTAGTGCAAACCATGATTATCACGCATGCCCACGATACGAGTGCAACAACCTGGTTGTTTCTCCGAAGAATGCATTAAATATTACAAATGCTACTTCCAATTGATAACAGCTGTTTCGTTTCGTTCCAAAACTTCACAAATAAAAAAGTAACGTGATTATTACGCATGCCCACGATACGAGAGTAACAACTTGGTTGTTTCTCCGAAGAATGCATTAAATATTACAAATGCTACTTCCAATTGATAACAGCTGTTTCGTTTCGTTCCAAAACTTCAAGAATAAAAAAGTAACGTTCACGCTTCTAAGAAGGAAGGGCTGTGTACGATATCTATTATCGCCAACTCGTCGAACTGTACGCTAAAAGTTTCTTCATACTTCGTAATACAATGATCGTATCCATTTCGTACTCAGAGATATATGTGTGGTCATGTTTTAATACTTTTGCAGAAAGGCCGTAGTATTCAAAAAAGTTTAAGACAAAAAGTGCGATACGAAAGAAAAAAATGTAACGTTTTATAAACTATACGATTACTGCGAATAACTATTGAAAAGACATATTTCTTGATAACACTAGACGAATAAATGTATGATATTAATAATATTACCGCTAATATTATCATGTCTAAAGAAATATAAAGAATTATATATACAAAAATGTAATATATGAAATAATAAATATATATTATATAATAAATATAATATGTACTCTCTATGTATATTTAATGTTTATATTAAAAGTGTTTACTTTTTTTAAAACAATATATTAATTTAAAATGTCATATAAGAAAATGTCAAAATAAGAAACATTGAATTAAATAATGTAAATTTTTATTTCTTATTATTTATAATAAATCTATATTACATCTATATGTAATTATTTAAATGATTTTTACATCTACGCTTTTCATAAATCTTCTGGTATATATATTGTTCCAAAGAAATTTGGTATCTTCTTCATCTTTGATTTGCTAATAAAAATGATATGTAGCCAGCCGATGTTTTTAACAACTGTAACATAATTTCTATGACAACATAAATTAAAGAATAAAATTTTTTAATTTAATCAATTAATATACAATTAAAAAATAAGAAGATATTACTTTTTATTGAAATAATTAGAAATATTTATTTATGTATTATTTTGTTATATTACTTTGATATTTATGTGTAAGTAATTAAGTACTTTCTTAATGTAAAATACCTATACTAAATTCTTAATGTAAATGAAATAGCCTAGCTTGTTTTTATTATCTGTTAAAAATGTGCATAATATAAATAGTGATAATTATCTTTTAGATTAACAATAAAAGTAATTTATTAATTTTATGTAAATTATTAATAATCTTACACTGCCAAATGTGGTCATCGTAAGTGGAAATATTTTTCCTGCAGTAATACGGAAAGGTTGGCTAGCTCGTATCATTAATAAGATAAGACTCCTTGCTTTTTTTGGTTCTAATTTGTACCATTCAAGATTGCATAAAGCATAATATACTTCTTCGCACTTAATATGAATATATATAAATATTATATATAACATGTATACATACATATATGTTACTATATATGTTCACACATAAATATATACAGTCGAATATATACATACGTAGGATTGGGACATTATATATGTCCCAATCCTACGGATCATCTCTTGTGAGCAAGTAGAGCGGACTAAACTGAATAAAAAAGTTACATATCATTTTGCAATTTTCACGATAGTTAATGAGATATTAATTTCTAAAAGATCGCAGAATAAATGCGTATATGTCCATCTTATCACCAAATGCGTGCAGTGCGATACGACCGCTCAGTGCAAGGGGATATTTTCTTGCACTGCTCGTGTGTTGCCAAGATTGCTTGTAGTAAACAACTTCTCGCATGCCTAGCAACTTAAGATAGTGGTCGGTCTTATCTCGTCGTGCGCTTGTATTTGGCGGTAGGCTGTGCTATTCATCAATTTTTAGAAATTAACTATTACGAAAATTGCAAAATGATACAGGACTCTTTTACTTAGTTCAATCCGTTCTATCTGCTTACGAGAGGCGATAGGTCTGGGACACTCTGTATAATGACATATACGTATATGTATGCAGGATGTCCGACATTAGGTGTATCATCGTTCATAGGTAGATAGAGCGGAGCTGAATCGAAAAGTATTGTACCACTTTGCAATTTTTGCAATAATTATCGAGATATTAATTACTAAAGATCACCGAATAAGCGCGTGTCCATCCGGTGATATACGTCCACCCAACAGTGGTGCAAAATTCCAGCTTGCTTGCAGCATGGTTAATAGCATGAAGAGGGTATGGGCGGGCATACAACACATGCGCAAGTGTATATGGATATCTTAGAACATATACTACTGGAAGAGGAATAGGCCGGTGAAGCCAACATCTGTACGAGAGAGAAAGCTATAGAGTCCCAAATGTTCGCAGTGCGCATGCGCAGTACCGTCGTCTGTATGAATTGTACGGGTGGGATCCGTTTGACCACGTTGCGATTGACCACCAGCCACTCACAGCGCTTATACAACAAAAAAACTCTAGACACCGGCCGCTATGAGTGGCTGGGGGGCAAACGCAACATGGTCAAACGGGGCCCACACACTTTTACAGTTGATTTAGTGTTTCTTACACATTCGTACATTATACAGATGTGTAAGACGACGGTGCTGCATGGTGCTGCACATGCGCATTGAGAACATTTAGGATTCTCTACCTTTCTTTCTCGCACAGATGATGGTTTCACCTCAGTATACGGGACAGCATAGGCAATTCCTCTTCCAGTAGTATATGTTCTAAGATGGATATGGACTCATCGTAGTGTATGTGTCTTCTTACTATTAATCGTGCTGCAAGCGGACTGGAATTTGCATCTATGCCGCCCAATGCTCGCGGTGGTGGTCTTTTGGCGCGAGGCGCGCGATGCGCGTCAAGAGGGGAGTTGTTTACTTAGTAGCGCCAGGCGGCCAAAAGCGCAATCTGGATGGAACACAGACTTCTATATATACTACTAGATTGCTAACTCCTTAGGACAACCTTGTGTGAAATGGACCCCGAAATTATATGGTAGTTTTACACATGCGTTACGAATATATCCGAAGGAATGCAGTATGGAGTCTTGCATCAACTGTACACGTGCTGAACGTATAGCCTTATGAAAGTGGTGTGATCTCATAACGAAAATTAGCGAAAAATTTTATTCTTTTTGGGAGAGAAAGTTCAAATAAAAAGATATTGGAAAGACAATTGAATATTTATTTGATGTTATTAGTTATTGGTGCGCAAATTTTAATTTATTGTTTACAAATTATAAACATTTTGACCAACATTTTTTATCCTCTTCAGAACAATAAATTAAATTTTGCACAATAACTACGTGAGATCTTTTTAATTCCTTTATATTAGATTTATTCTTAGAGCCTTTATATTATATTAATCAGGTTAACCTGTCAAAATAGGTATGTGTACTGATGTGTGCACGTGTGCAGATATACAATACGTCACGCGGTCACGCGGAGCGGTTCTCGACGCATGCGTACAATGTTACATCAAAATTGGGAGCCACTTTTTCAAACGAGTTAGCAGTAATATACAGGGTTCGCCAAAAATCCCGGGCCGGTTGAATATTTCGGAAAATATGCATTTTTGAGAAAAATGTTTCAGACAAAAGAGAGTTTAAAAAGATCTATTCACTGATCACACATCCGCTTGACCTGGCCTTGGTGGCGCCACCCAAGATCAAGTATATAGAAGTCTGTGGGGTGGACGCATCTCGCCGCACGCTTATGGTGCAGATGGGCCAAGCAGATACAGGCTTATTCGGTAATCTTTATAGTAATTAATATTTCAGTAATTATTGCGAAAATTGCAAAATGATACAGAACTTTTTGATTTAGTTTAGTGCGCTCTACCTATCTATGAACGGTGATATATCTAATGTCAGACACCCTGTATATGTATATGTATATTCATATCATTGTATTTATCAGCGTACATGCATACTATTGTGTTACAAGATATTTATATAAATTATTTTGAGAAATTAAATTTGTAACTGACTTGCATTGTTACAATTTCTCCGGCACCACAATAAACGAAAGCATGCGAAAACAAGATAGTGATACCCATTAATGGAAAACATAATCGTGCGGCAGAAAAATTACTTCCTTCAGTAATCACCTGAATAATATTATACCTTTCTAATTAGTAAAAATTAGTTAGTAGATGATATATCAACACATTAACTAATTCTGCACATTTCGAAATGAAAAAAGATATTTAAAAAATAAAAATAAGAATATGTATACATACTTAATTTTGTTTAAACTTACAGCAAGTAATAAAAATCCATGAAGACAAAATGAAATGCAAAAATAAAATAATAAGCCTAATGTCATAAAGGTAAAGATATTTTCAATAATACCGGCGAACCTATAAAAATGTTTTAAAAGATTACCTTATTATATTCTTCTTAATAAGAAAGTAAAATTATTATATTGCCTTGTCAAAAAGAAATTTATCTTCTTTTTAGTTACAAAAACGGTTTTTAAATATAATTTTTTTTTTAAATAACGATAATTAAGATAAATATACCAAGTAGTAGACGTGACCCAATTATTGGACAAAACGACAAAAATTTTAAGTATTATATTAAATTTTTAATCATATGTACAACTTTAAATAAATTCGTTATTAAAAAAATTTGTATAAACAATGAATTTATTAAAAACATTGAATATAATAGTCTTTATTTTAAGAAATAATTACTTTTTAAAATAAATTTGTGTTTAAAAATCGTTTTTGCACGTAAAAAAACTAAAGGGCGATACAGAATTTTTGCAAAAATAACTTTTACACTTTCTCTATTAATTATACTAGAAAAGTAGTTAAAAAGTATTTATCGTATACTTTAATAAATATATTATTTTATCTTTAATTTTAATATTTTTTAAAATTATTCTTATACTAATAATAGTAATAATAATAAATGTAAAATTAGAAAAAAAAATATAAGAAAATTTTCAAGAAAATGCGAAAAATATTTGTCTTACAATTTGAGATAAAAAGGTACATGTAATTTTGATATGCTCATTTACTAATTATTTAATTGTTATCTTTTTCTGATGTTCGCAATTAATTTTTAGAATTTCTTTGAAAATAAATATAAAATGCAAAGTATTCTAAATGATTATTAACTTAATTTACTATCAAATTATTAAATAATTCTTTTCTTTATAAGTTATCTTGAGTTTTACTTGTAATTGTATAATTATAATGATAAAAATAATTATGTGTGTACACACAATGTGTACATGCATATACCTGATAAGCCGCATATGATTTGTTATGTTGTGACTCAGATTATAGATAAAATTCTGGCACGAAATTAAATTAGTTACACGGCCTTTAAAGTTTTCTAATTGACCACTCAAGTGAAGAATAGTGAGTCCGAGAAAAGCATCTACTGAAGTGTAAGTTACGGCGGCCAAGAAAATTGTAATAGCTTGAATGATGTATGTTAGTTCAAATTGTGGACTCTTATCTATATCGTAAAAATAATAAGTCTGCAGCGGCAGCGGCTTGTCCGGGTCCGTAAGATTTGTCAAATGCCTTAACGGTAATCCAAAATAAGGAAGAATAATAACCACAATGAACGCCAATACCATTAGAATGTATCCACTGATGATAATCGTTCTAGCAATCTGTGCTCGACTCATCATTACAGCCCTTTCCTTTCTTGTCCTCAATTCCATCCAATCTTCCGCCATCATTTTTATGATGGATAAAAGTGCTTTGAAAAATAGCAAAATAATCACTTGTAGAACCATCACGTATCGACTTTCATTTTAAAGCTAAGACACAAATATCTTTAAATATATTTAATTTTCATATCTTTTGTGTATACAATAAATAAACTTTCTTTATATTTTTGTGCCACATAGATAATTTCAGTTATACCTGTTTGTTTCCACCGTAGAACAACAAGTTTCAACGAGACTATCAATAAAGGTAAAGTAATTTGGAGATTATCTATCATAAGTATCATGTCTCCCCAAACTCGTATAAGGGAGCAGACAAGAGGTATACCAGAAACAAAAGTCACTATAACGAAAATAATAACCACACGGAGATCAGAAGAGAAGTTATTCTTAGATACTTCATCGCTCTTCGGCCATAATCCGAGCAGTTCTAAACCCAAGCGATTTAATTTAATCGCCCATGTAAAATCTAGCAAGATATTAAAATTATAAGTACATTAAGAGTTTATCAAAATTTATGATATCTTGAAATAAAAAAATCCAAAATCGAAAATAAAAATATTGACATAAGGTACCTGGGCCTGTAACTCGTTATACAGTCGTTATGTGTTCATAGCAACAACAGTTGCATAACTTTTTTATTATATAAAATATCTGCGTAACTGTCGTTATGAGCACATAAAGATTGCATAACAAGTTCCGCTGTATTCTGTCTCTGTATGCCCCTGTATTCTGTAACTTGATGACAGTAAGGATGATATCGTTATATTTCGTTGCGCAACTTTTTTACTATGTACAAAATCTGCGTAATATAACAATATCGTTACTGTCATACGAGTTACAGAATACAGGGGCTGGAGCCCTATTCTTTATAAAGTAATTGTTGGGGGCTGGGGCCCTATATAGGCTGGGGCCCTTTGCAGCATTACGATGGACTCGCTACATCGTGATTGGTTGAAGTAGAATCGAGCAACCGTTAATTGTAATCATCAATCCGTAATTTGATACGGGCATTATACGGGATAATATTTTTTCTTTCTTTCTTTCTTTTTTTCTTTCTTTTAAACAAAAAATACATAAACATTTGATACCTTTATACTGGGAATGTTTGGCAATGTCCATGCCAAAGATTAATGCGAAGACGCACTCCCCACTTGTCATACTAGTGCAAACTATGATCATCACGCATGTCCACGATGCGAGTGTAACAACTTGGTTGCTTCTTTGAAGAATGTATTAAATATTACAAATGCTACTTCCAGTTGATAACAGCTATTTCGTGTTGTTCCGAAACTTCATGAATACAAAAAAAGTTATAAAATGTAACGTTCACGCTAATAAGAAGGAAGGTATATTGTGCTGTGTCAGTGTACGATATCTATTATCGCTAACTTGTCAAACTATACTGTAAAAGTTTTTTATACTTTGTAATACGACGATCGTGTTCACTTTGTACCTAGAGATGTATGTGTGGTGTTGCGTTTGAATACTTTTGTAGGCCGTAGATGATCAGAAAAACTTTAGACAAAAAGTGCAATGGAAAAAATGTAGTGTCCCATAAGTTATACGAATAATGTGAATAGCTATTGAAAAAACATATTTTTTTATAATATGTAAGATGATTAAATGTGCACATTATCGTATGTAAAGAATAATAATAGATATTATATATATACTGTATTGATAGTTTGCTATCACAGAAAAATCTTCATATAATTTATTCTTTAATAAAATCATAATAATTAATAAAATCATAATAGTAAATGTAAATATATATATATATATTTTTTTCTAGTGAATTTGCATATTGTATTTTATTATATTATGTGTATAAATTAATTCTCAGTCTCAACATTTAATAAACTGCAGCACTTATTTAAGCGAAAACTTATTCACGCGAAGTTTGATACTGAATAATACCAATCTAATAGAACTACAAAATTCGAAATTTAATCGACATGACCTCAAAAAATTGACCTTGACAGTAAGCAACATGATGTCGTGCGACAAAGTACATATTAGGCACTACTTACTTTTCGCGTTTCAATTGAAAAAAAATGCTTCCGAGGCGAAGGAAATGATTTGTTTGGCATTAGGAGAGAATGCTATATCCTATAGTATGTGTAAAAAGTTCCACAAGTTTCAGGATGGAAATTTTAATCTCGAAGATGACGAACAGCCTGGACAACCAAAGAAGTAGGAAGATGATGATTTGGAGCAGTTATTGGCAGAAAACCCATGCCAGTCCGAATCTGAACTTCCTTCAGCATTAAAAGTAACTCAGCCAACCATTTATATTCGGTTGCGAAAGCTGGGAAAAATTCAAAAAGAGGGCCGTTGGATTCCGTACGTTCTTCCGTAGACAACAAAGCGAGACGCTATGATACGGCTCTGTCTGATTTAAAAAGAAGGACTTCCTGCAGAAAATAGTAACGAGAGATGAAAAGTGGGTGTACTACGACAACTCAAAAAGACGAATATCATGAGTGAATCCAGGTGAGCCTTCGACATCGATCGCGAGATCCAATATTCATGGCAAAAAAGTTCTTTTGTGCATTTGGTAGAACTTCAGAGGTGTAATATATTTTGAATTGCTTAAACCGAATGAAACTGTCACTGCTGAACGCTACAAACATCAACTTCAGCGTGTGAGTGATGAAATCGAACATAAAATACCTTTTACTGGCAAAGGGCCTAGACTGGTAATATTGCTGCATGACAACGCAAAACTTCACACGGCGAAAGCGATTAAAGACACTCTTAATTTGTTGGGTTGGGAAGTTTTGCCACACCCGGCGTATTCACCAGACTTAGCAACGACAGATTTTCATTTATTTCGATCTCTTCAACATAACCTTGCAGACTCACACTTTAAGACATACGAAGAAATCGAAAATTGCGTTAAAGATTTCATTGAATCAAAACCATTGTGTTTTTATCGAATGGGAATCTGCCAGCTCCTGGATGAAATGTGTCGATTTTGGTGGAGATTACCTTTCTGACTGAAGCATAATTTCATTCTATGTGAGTAACCTTAATTCTCACTAAAAAAAGACCGAGAATTAATTTATACACCTAATAAGTGAGCTGATTTTAAGATTCTATTTATTATAATAATAATTATAAAATATGTTTATTTAATTAATAATTTGTTTATTACTGAAAAACAACATGTCATAAATTTAATGGCATATTTTAAGTTTAAATATTTAATATCTACTAAAAATGTTACAGTCAATATTCACGTTATACAATTAACAATAAATAACAAATTTATTTTTAAAAGGATACTAACGTAATTATTTATTAATATTTGTAATTATTTAATTTGATATTAATTTAATATTACATTATAATAATATTTTCTTATCTTACTTTTCGAATAAGTATCTAATATAGCGCGCGCGTTCCTCATAATTCAATTTCGCGCTTTGCTAGTAAAAATGATATGTAGCCAGCCGATGTTTTTAATAGCTGAAAAATATTCCTTTATTTAATAATGCTGTAAAGTAAAAGGGCATTAAAGTAAAATTTTTAATTTTTTAGAATGTATCAAATACGTCAAGTATATGACAAAATAAATCAAGATTTTCCTTTCCAAGAAAGAATTAACTTATAATAGTATTAAAGAGATCCTTTAATGTTGTCTGTTTTACTGATTAAATGCAATAATTTTCACAAAAGATCTTCATATGTATCATTTTTTTATCTGAACATCCTTTTCAAGAATTAAAATATTTTCTACAATGCAGCATGTTCGTATTTCACTTACTACAAAGAAATCATAGTGTACAGTGGATAACAGAAAAATTTCAATACTTTTTTTGGATGGGTTTCGGAATATAGTCTGCTCACCGCAAAAATTGGTTCTCACTTATGGATCTAACCATTTACGTTCAATCGCTCTACGAGTTAAATTTTAAATTAAATTCTGAAACCCATCGAAAAAAAGAGTGTTGCAAGTGACTTGTAATCTTTCTGACCTATTGTACAGAATTATTCTTGGTATAAAAATGTACAGAGAGAGATAAAGATTCTAATCTATTGCATTAATACATTTTAATCATAATAAATAGTTATTTAAAAAGTTTAAGCCGCAAAATTGTGAAAATAACTATATCAATAACGAGTCCCAGTTTTCCTTACACAAAGAAATAACGTCGAATTCTTATATAGAATTGAACTTATTGTTAGACACACCTAATTCGATATGAAAATCCTTTACGAAAATTTATGCATATGTAAGCATGCAATGTTATTGTATAGTAGTATGTGTTAACGTCACATAAATCATATGTGTCTAAGCTCATTGAATTGGTAAAATAGTGATTCCGTCGCAGTTTGATCTTCATATTAGGGGATCTCCTTAATTAATAATGTCTCAATTTCGTGTGCAAGAGATATAATAAGATATTAAATTATTAATAATCTTACGCTGCAAAATGTAGTCATTGTTAATGGAAATATCTTTCCCGCGGAAATGCGAAAAGGTTCATTAGCACGTATCATTAATAAAATAAGATATTTCTTTTTCCTCGGTTCCAATTTATACCACTCAAGATTGCATATAGTACTATATACTGCTTCGCACTTGGCACATATAAACAAACATGAACATATAAACACACATAAATACATCTGCATTACTTCAGTATTCTTTATATTATATTATATTCAATGAAATTGAATATTCAGTATATATTCTATAAACGTAAATTAACATTATAATTAGAGTTTTTAATTAATTTTCTATTTCTATTTAAAGACAAAAATAAAAACAAAAAGAAAAAAGTATTGTATAATCTAATTTTATTTAAAGTTTATAACAATTATAGCATTTATAAGATGCAAGAAATTAAATGAGTAGAAGTCATTTAACCCATGTTACAATTGACCACAAGCTACTCACAGTGCTCGTTCAGTGGAAAAAGTCTAGGTATCCGTCGCTGTAAGTAGCTATGGTCAGTCATAACGTTCCCAAATTAGACAGGTTACATATATGAATATGCATAATATTTTTAAATGTTTATGGAATTACTAAGTTTGTTATAATGCATGTATACTCTCTAATAAATTCACATAAGTAAAAAAAGCACTATATTCAGCAGTTGTTCATGCCTAATAATATTTCTTGTGAATTTATAGACTTTCCAGTTCAAGATGTGCGCCGATTATTTATTGCTCTTGAAACATAGTCCTAAACCGAAGCCGAAGTAGTAATATCACAAATTAAATTGACAAGCAATTTAATATTATTGTTGCAAATAAGTTAGACAACTGTTAATAATTTGATGCTACAAATGTCTTAAAAAATTGTAAATCATTTATTGCGAAAAATATTATTTCAACCGAAATTCGAATCCGGATGTCTTGCATTCCTTGCAAGCTCCTATCAATTCGATCACCCGGCATGTAATAATAATATATTACTCTCTAAATTCTTAGGAGTGGAATTTCACTCTAAACAGTGAGATTTACTCTAAAAGTTTTAGAGAATATGTATACATATACATGAATATAATTTGTTACAATGTAAATTAAAAATAAGTTAAAAGATAATTATATTTACTAATTACTAACTTACATTTTATTTGTTTTAGTTAATAAAAATATTGCAACTTACTTGCTCTGCTATAATTTCCCCTGCACCACAATAGAGAAATGTATGCGCCAATAATGTAAAGATTCCAATCACTAAAAAGCATATTCTTGTAAGAGACATATGACCTATCTCGTTCCCGGTAATCACCTGGATAATATATCTTGCTAATTAATAAAAATATGTTTTTAATTAATTACATAATTAATTTATATTTTTATACATTCTTCTCATTTACACTTACAGTAACAAACAGAAATCCAAATAGACAAAATACAATACCAAAATAAAATACTAGTCCCAACATCAATAAGGTGAATGTATCTTCAATGTTATTGGCAAACCTATGAATAATACGTTTAGATAGATTATACGTTAAAATCAATGCTAAAATATGTAATAATCAATGCTAAAATATGTTAAAATCAATGCTAACATATGTTAAAATAGAGCATGGAGCTCTATGTCTTTGATTTTAATATATAATCGGAACACTGCGCCGTGTGTAAAATCGGTAAACAAAAATGAGAAAGATAGAACGCGAAGATGGCCAGTTTCTATTCCTTTCTATCCAATCAATCACAATATCTTAGAAAGAGAGGGAAATTAACCGTCTTTATTCTCAATCTCTCCCTCTCATTTTTGTTGACCACATTTGATATACTATTTAGATATGGATACCGCAATCTATTAAATGTTTGTTTTTACAAACGCTTTGTTTGTAATTCATATCTTTGGTTAAAACAAAACGTGTATATATAGAATATAAACGAATAAGTGTCATATATTCTAAAGACATCCTGCCATTGATCAAACATAAAAAAATTCACATGAACATGGGTCAATTCTAAGGAGAATATAAAAATCGTAAGACTCGCAACTTGTTTTCATAAAACTTGTAAGAATTTATATGATTGGTATTCTATGGTATTTTATATATCGTAAGACATACGATTATTCGTAAATATCTACGATTTCTCGTAAATCTCGTGAATCTTATGAACAAGAAGTTGTCTCTAAAGATATTGTACAAAGTTATAAGCACAATTCTTACGAGAATATGTTACGAGCTTTACGATTCTGCTTAGAATTTAGGCATTAGTTTTTGAAGTAGGAGGAATTTTATTGTTTAAACCTTAAAGTATTTAAACATCTTACAATATTATAAGAATTGTTCAAAATAGTTTTTTCCTAATAGCCTGGCATCATAGATTTTAATCTCATACATACATATATTATTATCAATTACTATAAATAGAAAAAATTGAAAACTTGAAACCTTTAATAATTCTAAAACTAAGTATTTCTCTAATATTTAATGTTCGAAAATTTATTTGTCCTATTAATTGTTTGATATTGTTAAACAATAAAAGTCTCCCTGTTTCAAAAACTAAACGTTTCTAGACCCGTGTTTTTCTGAGCTTATTTTAATATTTGATCGATGAGAATACATCCCTAGAACATTTGATACTTATTTACATCTGTATGTGTGCGTTTAATAATCACGTAGATTAATGTCTTAATAAACGAGTTATTTGTCGTCGTTTTGACACCGATATTTTGACGTCTAAATGGCGACAAATAACATCAGTTTGTTTGCTGGGGTGCTATTTAATATTATAATACCTATTATAGTTAGATACAATATTGATATTTTTATATTTTTGTCGTACGTTTTATGTTATCTTACATTCAATTTTTATCTGCAGATTATTTATGTTGGTACTGATTATATACTGATTATATTAGGGTGTCCCATTTTAATGTCCCACCCCAAATAACTTTTTTATTTTTGATCTTAGAAAAAGTTATTTGGGATGGGACACCCATTAAAATGGGACACCCTGTATAAAATATATACATCATATATATATTATACATATACATATTATATACAGGGTGATCCAAAATTCTTGCATTCGGAGTACAGGATATGATACTTTATGCTAAAAGAAACAACTTTTTCCTTTTGCAAAATTGCGTCTGACAAGTAGTTTTTGCAGGAGAGCAGGTTGAAGTTATACGAGTAAACGCAAAAATTATTTACCGAATGTAATTTTACTATAGAAAAAAGTTGTTCGTTTTAGGATAAAAAACAACTTTTTCCTTTAGCAAAATTGCATCCAATAAGTAGTTTTTGCAGGAGAGTAGGTTGAAGTTATAAATAAGCGCAAAAATTATTTATCGGACGTAATTTTGCTAAAGGAAAAAATTGTTTTAGCATAAAGTATCTCATGTCCTGTACTCCCAATGCAGGAATTTCGGATCATCCTGTATACATGTATATTCAACAGTCCAAAATTAATCAAATTATGTAAAGATAAATTTCACAAAAACTTTACTACATCTAATTTTAAAATTTATTGATGTTATTATGACAGTTATAAATCACAGAGAAACCTTATTATCCGCAGATGAGTCTGTACATTGTTTTGCAGAGCGCTATCAAAATCCTTGCACGATGTCAAATCGATCAATCGGTGTTTGAAGTTCTCCAATTGGCCACTGATATGAAGGATCAAGAGTCCAAGAAAAGCATCTACCGAGGTATAAGTCGTTGCACCTAAAAACATCGTCGCAGCTTGAATCACAAGCGCGAGCTCAAATTGCGGACTCTTATCCGTATCGTAAAAGTAATACGCCTGAAAGGGTAAAAGTCTTTCCTGATCCGTAAGATTTGTTACATATCTAAAGTGTAGTCCGAAAGCAGGAAGAATAATTAGCACGATGAATACGAATATCATCAAAAGAAATCCACAAATTACAATCAATCGCGCAGTTTGTGCTCGTCTAATCATTACGTTTCTTTCTGCGTCTATCTTTAATTCCATCCAATCTTCTGCCATCATCTTTACGAGCAGTACAATAGCTTAAAAACATAATAAACTTATGTATAAAACATTTACGGTTATGAAGCTAAAGTATATTAATTTCAGATATAGTTATACCTGTACGTTTCCATCGTATGACAATAAGTTTCAGTGAAACGACTAGTAAAGGTAAAGTAACTTGGAGATTGTCTACTATAAGTATCATGTCACCCCAAACTCGCACAAGGGAACATAAAAGAGGAATAATGGATAGGAAAGTTACTATAAAGAAAATTACGCCTATACGAAGGTCCGAAACGAAGGTATTCTTAACTGCTCCGTTGGTTTTGGGCCATAAACCGACTAATTCCAAACCGAGTCGATTTAGTTCGATTGCCCATACAAAATCTAGCGATATTTCAATTAATAAACTTGTTTTACGTTGTTATAAATATAACAAATATTTGAAAATTAAAAAATTTTTAATAATAATTTAAGAATTTATAAAACTGATATATAATAATTTATGAGTTTTAGTATATATGTACCCAGAATTAGATATTTATAAAGCCGAAAAGTTTCGCAATTCGATCACAAACGTCAAATTAATCAATAATTAAAGAGTTTTAAAATCTGAGTATACATTCGAAATAAAAAAAGATTTCATAAAATAAAAACTCTTTCGAAGTGTGATATACTTATATTTACAAAACTAATACTGATGTTTAACACAATTTTTAGTTTTATTATAATATGTTTCAATAATTCAAAAGTTTTCACAAAAATTACTTTTATTACGATTCAAAATATATGATAGATGTATTTGATACCTTTGTAACCTGAATGTTTGGTAACGTTCATATTGAAGATTAATGCAGAGAATTCGGTTCTTGCAACTTCAGAATTCAAAATGGTCATCACGCATGCTCATGATATAAGTATAACAGATGGTTACTTCGTCGAGAGATACATTAAATATTACAAATACTATTTCCAGTTGATAGCACTTTTTTAGTTCGTAAAAGAACTTTACGGTCATAAGAACTGAGCATAAAAAATACCAATAACTGTGAAGTGATAAAAAGAGAGACATATTTTGTCATAACAGACATTTTGTCAGTCGTCGAGACGTTCTGCCTGTTATACAAGTTTCCCCTAACTTTATAATGTTTTACGCGCGCATAGCACTTTGTAGCCAGCCACAATATCGTGCATACCATACATATCGTGGTATCACAAACCATTGAATTTTTAATAGATCCATGTAGAGGAAAGAGGACATAAAAAACTTCTACTGAAAAGGAAAAGATAAAAAAACGTTTACGCTAATAACAAGAGAAATATTGTGTTGTATTCAATAAGTACTACCACCAACACGTCAAGTAATAAGCTAAAAGTTTCTTCATACTTTGTAATACTTGATCACGTGATGTATGATAATCGTGTTCACTTCGTAACTAAAGGTACATATGTAGTTGTGAGTAGTGAGTAACTGCGTTTTAATGGCTTTTGCAGAAAGGCCGTAGAAATTCAGAAAAACTTCAGATAAAAAGTGCGATGCGAGGGAAAAAATTAGCGTGCTATAAACTACAGGAATACTCTGTGAATATCTATTGAAAAGACATATTTCTTGATAATATAAGTGAATAAGTGAATGTGTAATAATATCTAGGCTATGTTTGGAAATATCACCCGAGTGTCCCCATTGTTTTATCCTTGTTGTTCCCAATGTTAAAAGAGGATAAAATGATACACGGGGGCATCCGGGTGATGTTTCCGAACGTAGTTCTAAAGAATTATAACGTTATCATTGCAATACTTTCTTCTCTTCTCGTTTTTGTGTAAAAATTAGCCTTTAATAAAATTATAACTCTGTCACTCACTCACTCACTCACTCACTCACCCACTCACTCACTCTCTCTCTCTCTCTCTCCCCCCCCCTCTCCCCCCTCTCTCTCTCTCTGTCTAAAAAAGCATAACATTTACTTATAAATTATACAATAAATAATTATATAATAAATATATACATATTCTTTTTCTAAATAAATTTGCATATTGCGTTACATCATAAACGATTTTATAATTATATTTTTTTTATTCTAAAAATTCTAATAATTATATGTTAAAATTACAATATTTAATATTAAATATTACCCAAGCAGAACAACAAGTCATTATGATATCAAAATGATGTCAAAATGACTCCAAAATGATCATTAAAAGTCATTTTTCAATCATTTCCGATTCATATTAATGTCATTTTGACGTTATTTCGTATCATGACTTGTTGTTCTGTTTATATTGTAATTACTTAATTCAAAATATATTATATTTTTTTCTCATTTTTTTTTTATTTCTTGAGTATTAGCTATCGTATTGGCTATGGTGCCAGCAGTACTACCAGCATGCAGCTAATAGTACCGCAGCCAATATGCAAGTACACAAATTCAGCCGGCAGAGAAAAAAAGCGTACCTACGGCTTCATATGTGAGAATCCAATAAAATTTTTTTACATAAGACATTTTTTCAATAGAATATATTTAACTTATTATTTTTATTGTGTTCGGTTTTATTTTTATGAAATCATAATAAAAATACAATTAATTTAAACGAACGTAAGATCTATATATGAATAAATACTAATGATTACATAAAAATTTTCAATAGTGTAATAATGAATACAAACATAATAAATATTGAAATAAATAAAGTAAACATTTTAAACAATAAGAATTTTACTAGACCGTACATTTGAAAATAAACATTTTAAATATTTTATTTTTAAATATAAATTATAATTTGTATTGTAATTATCTAATTAAAAATATTTTGCATTTACTCTTTTATCACAATCTAAAACAAATTACATGCTAGTAATTTTCATGCTTTAACCTCGGTTTGCCAGCAAAAACGATATATAACTAGCCGATGTTTTTAATAGCTGAAAAGGCAGGCTTCCATTCAGAAGATCCATCAACAAGATTTCACACGCAAAACATATATTCATTTTCTATATCTGTTTAAGACTATTAACTACTTATGCAATAAAAATATCTTACGCTACAAAATGTAGTCATTGTTAATGGAATAATCTTTCCTGCAGTGAAACGAAAAGGCTCACTGGCTCGTGTCATCAATAAAATAAGACATCTCGCTTTTTTTGACTCCAGTTTGTACCATTCGAGATTATTTAAAGTACGGTATATTGCTTCGCACTTAACATGTACACAAAAAATATATAATAAAGATATAAATGTCTGTTATTTTATACCACATTGTTCTCATAAATATTAATGAATTTTAATTCTTGTTTAAAAACGATATGAAACATTTTTTATCTTTTATTGTAAAAAAGATAAGTAGGTAAATCTTCTTTTATAAGAAGATAGAAAAAATCAATTAATTTTTTTATCAATATTTATGAAAATGGCCTTACATAATTTTATAGATTAGTATACATCATAAAATAAATAATAAGAAAATTATAATGTTTATAAAGTATAGAAAAATAGTTGCTGCTTAATTTCAAGAGATTCTTTTTAAATTAAGTACCCTGATAGCAAAGCCTGCGGAAACAGATTTCGAGCAGGGCCTGCTCCAATTTCTGATTGCAGAAAGGCAACAAATTATATTCAGAGTTTGTATTATCTGAGATTATCAGTAAATTGCTGTCAGAAATATGACAAAGCTTGCTAGACATGCTTTGCCAGTAGATTGGTAGCAGAAATCGAATGTCCTGCATAACCTGACGGCAGCTTAAGAGCAGATTGAGCGCAGACAGCAGATTGAGAGCAGAACTCGATTTGAGCAAATTCTGTTCGATTTCTGCCACCAATCTGCTGACATAGCCTGTCAACAGGCTTTGTTGATAAATCCATAGTCAAATGCGGACAGATGGCTATGGTTTTGTAGTCAAAATCTGATCGAGTTTGCTGCCAATTTGATCCCAAATTGTTAACATTTTGCTATCAGGGTATGGTATAGATTAATAATCGGCCGCAACGCGTTTGGCCAACAGATTAAATTAATAATTAATTTACAAATATAAATTTCTTACTTGCTCCGTTATTAGTTCTCCGGCTCCGCAGTAGAGAAAAGTGTGTGCTAAGAGAGTAGTAATGCCAATCATTGCATATAATATTTGTGAAAAAGGAATATTATTTGTTTCATCGTCGGTAAAAATCTGTATAATATATATTTTTCTTAATAAAAATTAATTAACATAAGTTAAATAAACAATAAGATTATAATCACAATCACAAATAAGACATATGGCGCAATTATATAATATATATTATAAACGAGGATATATAAGATGCATATTTAAATATCTTAATATCTAAAAGTAACATATCTTTTTGAACTTACAGTAAGCAACAGAAATCCGTATATACAAAATACGATACCAAAATAAAATACTAATCCCAACATCATTAATGTGAATGTATCTTCGATCTTACCAGCAAATCTGTAATGTAAATATATGCAAATGATCACATTCAGTATATATGATATTCTTGAGGCTTCCACGGGTGTTTCTTATATGAAAATCATGCGTTTTGCGGGTTTTCTCTGTGTCCAGATCCATTCTTGGAATGCCAACGTTTCGTGAACCTTGCAGTCCACTTCATCAGGGCGAGGAGCAGCCTGATATTAACAAGGTTCACGAAACGTTGACATTCCAAGAATGGATCTGGACACAGAGAAAACCCGCGAAACGCATGATTTTCATATTCAATATGTTACAGGCAAAGTGCGCAAGTGGGCAATATCGACATTGCCCGAGTTGCCTTCTGTACAATGTCAACATTGCCCGGGCAATGTCAACATTGCTCAATGCGATTGGGTTGGGCAATGTAGACACTGCCCACTTGCAACATATACCGTAACATATATAATTATTAAATAATAAACATTTAAAAATTATAAAAATAAAAATATTGATATATATATAAAAGATAATAATTAATAGAAAATTTTATGTAATTATATAATATAATACATTCTGCGGTTTTGTTCCTGCGCCTTGTCGGTCAGCTGATTGTGAGTCCGATCGATATTATGCTCAGTTGTGGTCAATTGATAATTGCTTGCGTGCAATTGCTTATCGGTTCTAACGAGTTTATATGTTCTAGCTGTTGTTTAATTACGTTGTGTTCTCTGTGTACTAGGTGTTCTATTAAATTTTTTTAACTACATTCGTGTCTTTACTTTCGCGAGTGCGAGAGTGCTGTGTTTGCATCGTTGGCGTAACAATGTAAATGTGCTAGAAATGTGTGATATATGAAGACATCTGTATCGTTATTATTATGTGCAAGAATGTACTACTGTTTCAATAATAAAATAAATGTGCAAAACTCGATTGTTCCGCAAGTTTTGCAAAATTTTATTTTGTGCGACATCATTCTATAGTTATAATTAAAACCTGCAAAAAACCTGATGAGTCGTAGATGAGCGATCACATTACTCCGTAAAGCATTATTAAAATCTTTGCATGAGACCAAATTGACCAATCGACTTCTGTAGTTCTCTAACTGGCCGCAGATGTGAAGAATTACAAGTCCAAGGAAAGCATCTACCGATGTATATGTTATAGCTGCCAAGAAAATCGTTATGGCTTGAATGATAATCGTGAGTTCAAATTGCGGACTCTTATCTGTGTCGTAAAAGTAATACGTCTGCAGCGGTAACGGTTTGTTCCGATCTGTGAGATTTGTTAAGCGTCTGAATGGTACGCCAAAACAAGGAAAAATGATGATCACAGTGAATGCTAATATCATCAATACGTATCCGCAAATTACAATCATCCGAGCAGTCCGCGCTCGCTTCACCATCACGTTCCTTTCTGTGTCAAGCTTCAATGTCATCCAATCTTCTGCCATCATCTTTATGATGGGTAAGAGAGCTTAGAAATACAA